ATGGACACACGCCCTCAGCAACTAGATCCCGCTTCAAGAAGCTGGGCATGTCCCGGTCATCATCCACACAAAGCTTGGGCAAATTGATGCGTCCGCAGCTGTCGAAAAGCCCACCCAGCACCAACACTTTGTCGCAAAGCACCAGTGCTGAAACAAGTCAGACGCCATCCGCCAACACCCTCTCGCCAGTCCCTGATGCACTTGCTAACCCAACTGAGCCGTCAGACACTGTTGCTGAAGCTGAGGATGCGGATTTCCATGAATATGTGGTCCCTCTGAAGATGAAGAATTTGGATAAATGGGAGAGCAAACACAGCCCTCAGATTTACCTCAAAGCCAAGTACATGCCGTACCCAGCTCTGCGCCAGCAATTCTGGCGGGCCATGCTTCGCCAGTACGACACTGACGAAAGTGGTGAGATAAGCCGCGTTGAACTTACTACCATGCTGGACACCCTGGGATCAACTCTGAAGGAGTCCACAATCGACAGTTTTTTCCAGCGATTCCCCCACAAAGCTGCTGACAATGAAGAGACGTGGGACCTGACCATGGACGAGGCAGTGATATGCCTGGAGGACCAGCTCGAGGCCAAGAGCAAGCCTGCGACAGTTGCAGACAAGGTCAAGAGCCTGGTTCCGGACTTGAAGCAACTTGGAATTCATAACAAGCCAGACATCACTGGGGATCTAAGCTCTGCCAACGTGTCGGGTACTTCCACTCCCCAGATCGTCGTTGAGCCAGAGACCCCCATTGACCCCAGGGGCTCCGGAGGAGAGGAGAGCGACGAGTTTGGCGACAGAGACGAGGAACATGTCGTAGAAATTCGCGAATGTCCCATCTGTCACCAACCGCGACTCAACAAGCGTAGTGATACAGACATCATTACCCATATTGCTACTTGCGCGAGCCAGGACTGGAGACAGGTAAACACGGTGTTGATGGGTGGCTTTGTGACGGCCAGCCAGGCACAGCGCAAATGGTACTCCAAGGTCATTACCAAGATCTCTTATGGAGGTTACAAGCTGGGGGCCAACTCGGCCAACATCCTGGTGCAAGATCGCATGACTGGCCAGATCAATGAAGAGAAGATGAGTGTCTACGTCAGACTGGGTATCCGACTGCTGTACAAGGGTCTGAAGTCGCGTGATATGGAGAACAAACGAAGTAAGTACTGGCTAGTTGAAAACCTTAAAAAAAAAAAAAAAAAAAACTTAGACGCAGAATGT